ATACTTTTAACTATGCATGTGACAAATAAAGAACCTTGAACCTTGAACCTTGAAAGGCAGGAAAACCCGAAACTTACTTTAAAACTAAATATGTTTCTAAATACTTTAAAACTAAATATGTTCCCTAAAACGGTGACAGAGCTACAGACCCATGACAGCCTTACACAGGTAGCCAGCAGCTATGACCAGCACTACTTGTGCAGTTAATAAAAGGACAGGTAATGTTCGTCGCGCTGTTGCTAATACTCCTGGGTGCTACACACCACAGTGTATGCTGTACACCTACTTACTGGTTTTGTCGCATCAGTCTGTGTCTCTGAGTTAACTTGTGTTTCTCCTACAGCTCCGGACCGCAAAAAATGCGCGTGCTCTTTGTGAGCTCGTTCCCGGCTCGTAACCAGCGCGTTCTGCCGTCGAGGGCGATCATTGGTTAAATGTGATCATGTGACTGATGCAAGCCAGATCCTTTTATTTAGCAAAACTGTGATTAATAGTTAAATATTATTGTTGAGGGGCACAGACAGGACTCCGCACGCACACACACATAAAAAAATAAATAAAAAATTTAAAAGTTGCCTCAACAAAAGGGCACTTTGGGCACTCATCAGGAAAGGGGCGGGTGCTCAAGCCCCTCTAGCCCCCCCCTCTGCCCGTCCCTGCGAAATCTGATAGGATGAAATGAGGATTTGTTCCTCAGTGTTTGGTCTCCTATGCTTACCTTTTCTCCAGATGATTTGTCGCAGTTGAGAGGGGCCGGTTGTCTTTAAGGTGCTTCCAGGTAATTAAGAAGTAAGTGCAGGGTTCGTACCATTCATCACACTTCTGTTAGGTTTGTTTGAAGACTCGGGCATTTTTCAGCAACTCCTGTAGCGATAGCTGCGTCCTCACACTGCATATGCTGTTTGCCACCTGGATGATGTTGTCATTCATAGTGATACCACGGTGGAGCATGTGCAGTGGGTGGTCACAGTCCCTAAAGTGTGTGGTTGGATGGAGGGACGTACAGTATTTGGGTACAATTTGGGAGCTGGGTATGTGCATCCACACATGGATAAAACAGCAGCCATCGCATCCTGCCTGTGTCCCAACGCAAAAAAGAACATCCTGATAATAATGAATTACAATATAGTAAATGGCGGTCGCACTTTTTCCTAGTAGACATGTGATTCTCCCCCCATCACTCCCTCACCAAAATCTACACGAAGTATAACTACTCCGTTGGTATATTTAACGGTATACACATACCCATTACTGCCTCGATATTCTAGCTTAAATTCAGTCCCATCTACGGCATTTTCACAGCGCTGCTTTTTGCGACGGGGGCCCCGGAGGCCTGCTCCTGTAGACGTACCTAGTACGGCTGTGGCTTGGGCGATGTCCTGGCTGCTCCCCCTCCCGTCCATGTGCGCGTGCACGTGCGCGAGAACGGACTTTTTGCACGTGCGTGTGTGTCCAGGGGTCATATGAGTTCACATGTGTTTAATAGAGTATTATTTAATGAAACCATTATGTGTTTTAATTAAACTCTTTTTAAAGGATTGTATAGGTCTCAGAGTTCTGTTATTTAGACATAGGTGATTTAATTAAACTACTTTAGGGGTATTTTAACTAGTTAGGAGCCTTTTGCATTTTCTTCAGTGCTATTTAGGAGCAAATAACAGGTATCCCTTTAGAAATAAACAGTGATACTTTTAAAAAGCGTGTATTCCCACACAGCATTTAATTTAGCTAGTTTAGGAAGATTTCACTTTTCTAAAAGTTTCACAGGCCAATAGTTTTAAATAGAGCACCGCAAACAACATGTATTTCTTTTAGAAATAAGCTTCTAAAAAACACATATTCCCACACTCTGTAACAGTTAGGCTCCCAAAAGTCTGTAAAAAGGTATGAAGCATACAAAAGATGCTCCTTATCAAGAGTATCCCAGCCCAAAGGGGTTTCTCACAAACAGTTAATTCCCACACGCTGCAACAGTCATATTCCCACACTCTGTAACAGTTAGGCTCCCAAAAGTCTGTAAAAAGGTATGAAGCAAACAAAAGATGCTCCTTATCAAGAGTGTCCCAGCCCAAAGGTGTATATTCACAAACATTTAATGGCTTTCATGCAACTAGTCTTATCATGTCAGAGGCCGGCAGAAACTATGTCCAACCCGGGAGAGTGTAATGACACCTCCTACTGGGCAGGGCTAGCAGACATATAAAACGGACTCCTTCACCATTTGGAGCATCAACAGATCAACCTAAGACACCTCTAACTAAGGAGTGCAGGATGACATCTGCATCAACCATGACGAGCAGCCAGGACATCGCCCAAGCCACAGCCGTACTAGGTACGTCTGCAGGAGCAGGCCTCCGGGGCCCTCGTCGCAAAAAGCAGCGCTGTGAAAATGCCGTAGATGGGACTGAATTTAAGCTAGGATATCGAGGCAGTAATGGGTAGGTGTATACCGTTAAATATACCAACGGAGTAGTTATACTTCGTGTAGATTGTGGTGAGGGAGTGTTTTGGGGGGAGACACAACACATGTCTACTAGAAACTGGAAACTCTTTCGCACTGTTGTTTGTGTGGACTTGGACAGTGTGGGATTTCCAGAGATGCTGTATGTTTCGCAGTGGACCAGTCCAACAGGCCCTGAACTTTACAGGGTTGAGGCCGATCGCTTCAACCGTAGCCCCAATGACTTTATTTTTCTCAGTGTATGTGATGACAGGGAAAGTCTTATTGCTGTCAGAGGGGTTGAAAACTGGAGGTTAAATCCTTACCCTCTGAGCATAGAAGAGCGCGCTACATGGTTTAAGGACATGTTTTTTATACAGTGGTGTGACTGGAGACCTATGCTGCGTCTGTTTAGCCAGATTGACGACGCCATCAAGAGGGACAGTCTCAACACTGCGTACCAGGGTATTAGAAAACGCCTTGTTTTTGATGATTTTGCGACTTGTCCGAAGACTGGCTTGCCTTCTGCCCTGTGCAAACCTAAAATCATAAGGGCGTCTGACAACTAAATAAACCAAATGGTAGGTTTAATGTGTGTGTGTGTCTATGCAACAAAATATAACATCTTTTTATGGTTCTCATTTTTCAGAGCGAGACATGGAAGTATGGGACCTCACAGACTCCCCACCTCCACCAGCATTGCTAATCCAGACCCCACCAAGCCCACCCCCCTCTCCACAATCGCTACTGCTGCAGGATCCTACAGGATCGGATCTGTGTCAGGAAACCATTATCGACATCAAGCTTGCAACCCACCACTTGCTGATGTTGGCGCTAAACGACTTTCTACAGGATACATGCTACGGATGTCAAACAGCTCATCCCAGTCAGGTGCAGCACAGCTGCTTGCTCGAATTGGGCGAGGATTTCTTTGACACCTACTATGATGATGTGATGATAAGGCTCAAGACAGACCGATTCATCCCCGCCATTCGGCTGTTTGTACGCTCATACACAGTCGCTGGGACTGGAACACAATTCAGCAGGATTGCAGAACACACCATGACTGAACTGAGATCATCACAACATATAGTATGCACAATTAACGACAACATTGGGTTGCTGTTAGAATCAAGTCGTTATGCCCAGCGTGTTAAACCAGCAATGCTTCGCATGATTGGTAACTACTGGGCTGGGAGACACCTCTTTTAATGTTGCTGTTCAAGTATTCCATTGTCTGTGTGAAAATAAATAAAAAGACTGTTAACATCAACATTTTAGTCATTTGTGGTTTGATAACCATGGAAAACACTTGATAAAATTTATCATGATCCGGCCCATCCTGCGGTTGGCCAGTTTAAATAAGCTCCGTTTAGCAGCAGGAGGCACAGGATAAGAACCCTCCATTATCCAGGTCAAACATTATTTAGAACAGAGACACATTACACACTCCAAAACCGCAGGATCCATTTCCCCAGAAAAGAGTATTGGTACAGGTCGACAAACAGTTTCAAGCCGATCTGGTTGAATGTTGAATATGGGCAGATAATGAAGTGTAGATACCTGCTAACATGTATAGATGTATTCTCAAAATAGCGTGGGTTAGATGTCTAACAAACAAGACAGGGCCCGGCCATAACAGCCGCATTCGAGGATATACTTACCGAGGGCAGGATCCCCATGAAACTACAAACAGATCAAGGCAAAGAATTTTATAATACACCCTTTAAACAGCTAATGAAGCGTTATAACATCAAACATTTCTCAACAGCTAGTGAGGTTAAATCTAGTATTGTTGAAAGATTCAAACGCAGCTTCAAGGGTAGAATGTGGAAGTATTTAACATCCGTCAACTCACACGGGCATATAACAATGGTTATCACAGGTCTATCCAAATGGCTCCAGCAGAGGTAGATAAGGATAATGAGAAGCAGGTCTTTAACACCCTGTACAAAACCAAACCTCAGAAGAAAGTGCATTTTAAATTTAATGTTGGCGACACCGTACGAATATCAAAACTGAGAGGAGTGTTTCGAAAAGGATACAAACAAACCTACACCGATGAGATTTTCACAATCAGTGAGTGTATAGGGAGACAACCTCCAGTCTACAGGCTAGTCGATCTAGCAGGAGAGGTGTTGAAAGGAACATTTTATGAGCCTGAAATACAACGCGTGATTGTTGATAAAAACAAAACATTTAAAATTGAAAGCATATTGGCTAGAAAAAAAGTGGGCCGGAAAAAGATGGCTCTAGTAAAATGGTTAGGATGGCCAGCAAGTTTTAATCCATAGATTCTGGAAAAAGACATCGTTGACGCGTGATTAACCCGGATGACACAGCTCTGCAGTCATTCATTCGTCACAATGCAGAGACGGAGTAAAGAAGGATGGATAAAAAGAACAACAAAGCAGGCTTTTATGTGAGTCTCTTCTCGAATGCATCGGCTCATGTTTACCCAGGCAATAAGATATCTAATTTTAGGACAAAACTAGCAAAACCTATTGTTTTGAATAATCAGTATGAGGTAGCTGTTATAGAGATACAGTACCCACGCACTTGGTTGTCTTTTCAACAACCAGACGCACGAGTAGAAATTTATAACCCTGTCAAAGACGAAGCCCTAGCCGTAACAACGATCGAGCTGTCTGTGGGTCATTATACCTCTGTGGAGCAAATAATAAAATAATTTAATTTGAAATGCCAACAGCACCAGGGCACAACGGACATTAAAACACAATACAACACAGTTAGTAACTATGTCAGTGTTATGGGGCCTAGAGGCATCATGCTCACATTTAGAGGGAGACTGGCAGAAATCCTAGGATTTGAAAGAGAAGAACCGTTTGTACTTCATTATAAAATCACACACGCGCCACATCCTGCTGACATATACGGCGGGAAATACAACATGTTTATTTATGCAGATATTGCCGACTACCAACTTGTGGGCGACGCCCATGCGCGTCTATTAAGGGCTATAAATATCACAGACGATATGCGGCGTGTAAACATTTTGCAATTTTACAGTCTACACTACACACCTGTGTCAAAGACATTAATCGACGACATAGAAATTGATTTGAAAGACGACCAGAATCAACACATACCCTTTTTATACGGTAAGGTGTTTGTGAAGCTACACTTCCGACCGATAAGACAACATTTTTAAAAAGAAAGGATGGGTGTCTACAACACAGATGAAACAAAATATCTAAAATATTACCTCGCACAAGCCGGGGGAGAGTTAGGAGGGTATATAGGGACCAGCACACAATATGGCTCTGGTCTAGGGGGGTTGTTCCGCAGTTTATTTAGATTTGCAGTACCGCTGTTTAAAAAAGGAGTCAGTATAGTCAAACCCCACCTAAAAACAGCCGCATCAGGCATAGTGTCTGACGTCATATCCAACATAACCAGGCCCACAGCCACTAAGCAGGATGGTAATGGTGTGTATGTGTATACGCCCTATACATCAAAGACCCCACCCACAGCGCGCACTATTTCTAAAAAGCGTAAAACCACAAAACCAGATCAACAAACGGACACCGTCACGCGGAGTGAAAAGACCCCAAACTAGGCGTTCAAAAACTAGAGCGTTTGACATATTCTAAATGGCGCTGTTACACAGTCAATGTCTCTCTTGGAAATGAGATTTTTAATCTCAATGAGATTTTTTACCTGGATAAATAAAGGATTAAAAAAAAAAAAAATCTAGAGAATGTGTAAAAACAGAGTTGGATCTGTTTACTGTTCCCTACACACAGACTAGCATTGAGAAAAGTGTGTTTATTGAAACATCGCCTGTTTCGGCAATCACTGACGGAGGCCCGATCGAGTTTTACATCTCATCGTCTGGAGAAGATTACCTGGATCTAAATGACACATATATCTACACGCCTGTGAGAATCACAAACGCTGATGGCTCAAACCTGGCTAGGGATGCTAACGTGGGCTTTATTAATTATCCCGGATGTACTCTGTTCTCGCAGGTCGACGTTAATTTGGGAGACCGTCTAATTAGTCAATCATCTAACACATATCCATATAGAGGCGTGATAGAATGTCTTATCAATTATAATAAGGACACTTTAGACACACAGTTCAGCACCGGGTTATTCTGTAAGGATACATCATCACACATGAATGACACATACATAGAAGGGGACAACCAAGGCCTTGTGACCAGAGGCAAATATACAGCGAATAGCAGCATTGTTGAATTGATAGCGCCTGTACATGCAGACCTGTTTTTTCAAGAAAAACTGTTACTTAATGGAATAGATCTGTTGTTGAAATTTGTGCGCTCTAAAGACAAATTTGCTCTCATGACGGCGGATGCCAATGCATACAAAGTTAAAATAGTCTCAGCCAGTCTCTTTGTCAAGAAAGTGAGTGTATCACCTAGCGTCAGACTTGCACACAGCAAGGCATTGCACCATGCAAACGCAAAATATGCTATAGACAGAGTATCTTTAAAGACCTTCTCCATACCGGCTGGGGCTCGAATATCAACTAATGACAATTTATTTATGGGTAGGATACCTAAATTTGTCATCATTGCATTCATAGACAATGAAGCATACACCGGCTCCTACCAGCGTAATCCATTTCATTTTGAAAACTGCGATATAGAATTTATGTCTTTATATGCTGATAGTCAGGCTTATCCTGCTAAACCATTCCAACCAAATTTCCAGAGAAAACACTATATCAGAGAATTTTACCAGCTGATACAAACCACAGGAAGACATTTAAAGGACAGATCCTTGGCCATAACACGTGCAGACTTTGGTAACGGCTACACTTTATTCTGTTTCAATCTGGAAGCTGACGAAGGACATTCAGGGAATGTGTCGTTAATTAAAACTGGGAACGTGAGATTGGAAACCCGTTTCAGAAACCCACTACCCCGTACAGTGAACCTCTTGTGTTATTCTGTATTTGATTCAGTCATTGAAATATCTAACATGAGACAGGTGCTCTTGGATTACTACTGAGGCAACAAAGACGGTCATGAACACTATAGAACTAACATCTGTGATGGGCAGGATTATCAATAAAAACACACATTTTCTAGGTGTGTTAGCCTGTGATCAGGTACCCAATGTTCAGCTTCAAAGACTCCCAGCTATGGCTATTGTAAACAATCACCCTTCGACAATGGCCGGGGAACACTGGGTGGCTGTTTATATTTCGAGAGACAGACGCGGTTATTTTTTTGATAGTTTTGGAAACTCGCTAGACAGTTTTCCATCACCAATAAAGGTGTTTCTTCTAAAAAACTGTTCCACTATTTTATATTCAGGAAAACAAGTGCAGAACAACTTCTCCATCACATGCGGACAACATTGTGTATTTTTTTTATTTCATATACAAAACGGAGTGTCTTATTCACATGTGCTCAACATGTATTCTACTAATTTAACTTGTAACGATGCTAAGGTGTGTCGCTTTGTCAACAACATACAACCCATAGCAGTGTGTAGTTATTATATGTGTGTGCAACAAGGATACTGATGTGTAATACCGTTTATAATAAAAGACGATATGAGTGCATGATTTAATCGAGTCAATGGTATTTATTATCAAAATTGTCACATGTATTATTATTATACAGTCACATCACACATGCTTCAAGAGTAATAAAGAAAGCAAACATTATACAATGATAATAATAGAAAAACTATGATAAAAGAAAACAATCTAACAGTGAAAAAAATACAGTAGAAAAACAACAAACAGTCAATATTTTAGGCAGAAAAACAATAACAACATTGCAGTTATGATAAGAAATAGTCTGAATTCAAAAATCCAACCATTCGATAGGACCACCCTTTAATTTATTTTTTTTATTCTTTATTTTTTTCTTTAATGTACTATCACGCTGTGAAACGCCTGGTGTGTTCATTTTAGGCGTGTGTTTTAAAAAACCAGAGTCTTCAGTCAGTGTGTGATCTGTTTTATACAAGGAAATGGTCTTACGTACGCCGGTATTGGATATGACCGATAATGGTATGTTTAAATCTGAAACAGCCTTTAAAAACTCTGTCCAGCCTATAGGTCTGAAACCATCAGAAGGTGTGTGTGTGGTTGTGACGGCTTTAATCAGATCATAAATGTGTGAACCCGGTATGGTGTGTTTATCAACAACAATTTCGCCTTTGTCGTTGTAAGAAACCGTGTTTGGCGAACGGTTCAGAGCTGCTAGAATGAGTTCTGC